GAATTCAAATGCATGTGGAATGGAACAATAAAACAAAACAAATGTGATTCAAAATTTAGAAAAGCAAAGTTAAGAATAAAAATAGAACATTGCACTCATGCTGAAATGACAGTTAAGCACGCGTAACATCATGTTTGCGAAATGGTAATTGCAGATGAAATATACGCAATTCAAAATCAGTTATGGGGGTGGGTTCCCGCATAACAAAATTTCCATACATTAGATATACCGACTGCATCCCTAGAGTTGATGTACATGTCCTGTAATCCTGCTTTATATATTTTGAGAGTCTCCATGATTCTGAGCTGATCCGTACGGTGTGAGAGCCTGATCAGACGGGCATTTTGTAGGTCAGCTGTAATTCCCGGTTCCGTGGCAACAGTTGAGAGGGTGGCGGTGTGCTTTTTATTGTCAATGTCGTATTTGTGCTCATGAAGCTGTTTATGAAGGGAGCATTTGGTTGAGCCTACATAAATCAAACGGCTATTAAATCTGTCATTCCAAACCGGAACAGCATATACCCCTGGTGCATGTTTCAACTCATTTGTGTCTTTAGTTTTAGTGATGGATGAAATTTCTCTGATACAGAGAAATCCATCCATCACTAAAACTAAGATAGCTTACAGTAGGTCAAGATCTGTTTACAACTTACTCTGCAACGGAAAAGACACAACTGACTTGAAACATGCACCGGGGGTATATGCTGTCCTGCTTTGGGATGACAGATTTAATATCCGTTTGGTTTATGTGGGCTCAACCAAATGCTCCCTTCATAAATGGCTTTGTGAGCACAAATACGACATTGACAATAAAAAGCACACCGCCACCCTCTCAACTGTTGCCACGGAACCGGGAATCACAGCTGACCTACAAAATGCCCGTCTGATCAGGCTCTCACACCGTACGGATCAGCTCAGAACCATGGAGACTCTCAAAATATATAAAGCAGGATTACAGGACATGTACATCAACTCTAGAGATGCAGTCGGTATATCTAATGTATGGAAATTTTGTTATGCGGGAACCCACCCCCATAACTAATTTTGAATTGCGTATATTTCATCTGCAATCACCATTTCGCAAACATGATGTTACGCGTGCTTAACTGTCATTTCAGCATGAGTGCAATGTTCTATTTTTATTCTTAACTTTGCTTTTCTAAATTTTGAATCACATTTGTTTTGTTTTATTGTTCCATTCCACATGCATTTGAATTCCTCATAACTGTAGCCTGATGAAGATCTGAATGGTGTCGAAAACGTTTGCTGTTTTGTAAACATGTATCACTGGAATACAAAGGTTTTTTGTGTGATGAATTATAATATTACATAATTATAAGCATCCAATATTAGGACATTGGCAGAATGTTGAGGCTATATGTCATATTATTTTGTATGTATGTATTGTAGATTAAATAGTTTTAATAACTCTCTCCCCTTCTTAATCCTATAAGACTCACCAAATAAACCATATCCAGTTCATAAGCAAACAGAAAAATTCTTTATACGAACATTTTCATCTATATGTAATAGACATCTTCAGGTATTGACAATATCGAACTAACGGCTAGTAGAATAGAATGGTTTTGAAAGTTCTGTTTAACTACGTAATTCGAATATGTTGCGTTAAAATTGAAAAATATTTTACATATTTTCAATTTTAACGCAACATATTCGAATTACGTATTGAATTCATATCTTTCTTAAATGCAGACACTTCCAGATTTTGTGGAGCATAAATTCCATTAATGCTTCATAGCAAGATTCTATTTTTATACATGGATATAGGTTTTCATAGTCCATAATTGTCCCAAGTTCTTTATCCAGTAAACTTAATTCCTGTAGTTCTTTTACTACATATGATAGAGTTAGTCAAATTGATATGCTATGAGTCCTTCTTCACTTTCGATAAACAAGCTTACAGACAAAAGAAAGGGGTATCCATGGGAAGCCCAATGTCAGGATTATTGTATGAACTAGTCCTATGCAACTTGGAGAAGAACATTATCAATGGGTTCAGGATGGATATTGTATTTTACAAAAGGTATGTAGACGATGTGTGCATTATTTGGAAAAACGACAAGAGCATACAAGAGTTTGTACAGATAATCAAAAATAGCAACAACGATGGATTAAAACTTAAACTAGAGAAAAAATTTATTTCATTTCTGAGTCAAAATCTCTTAATTATATTTTTAATCATAACTAGAAACCTCGGACTCATTATTTTCATTATCTTATATCAATTTCAATTATATTTATCTATGAGTACAAATTTTATGAAATTAAATTTAATTAAAATAAGGAGTTGAAATTGATATCTTGTTGGAGAAAAAAATAAAAGATTCCAAATACAGTATAAAAATAAAAACAATTGTCAGAATGTTGTTATTTGATCTGTTTTGGTCACACAATCTGAAGTCATCCAATTGAGGCAATAACTTTATCCCTCACTTCATATAGCATATCCATCTTAGTATCTATTAATCTAGATTGTAGCACATCACTCTGAAGATTCTGCTATTACTTACTTATAAAGTAATATAAAATTTATAATAATATATAACAGAAAAGCAAATTTATATTACTGTTCATAATTATTTTCTTATTACAATCATTTATTACATTTTTCCCCTATAGTAAAAATCCAAAAACTTGTACAATATATACAATATAAGATCATATCTTTATGACTATTGGGTTGTTCAGAAAGTAAGTTCGTTTTTTTCCATGGAAAAAAAAACAATATTTTTATAATAAATAAATATTTTATTGAATTATATATCAACCATTTTGGTCAAACACCTGTTCTCATCGTTTCTAGTAGTAGCATCATTTCACATTCATAAAAGTTTTGATCGTTGCTTACAAAAAACTTATCCAAGTGATTTCTGACATTGTCATTTCAAGTAAATGTCTTACAGTTAAAAAAAATTTGTGCAGACAGGAACAAGTAATAATCTGAGTGTGCTCGATCTGGTGAATATGGTTGGTGTGATAGCATGTCCCATCTAAGTTATAACAGTTTCTGACGAGTTACCAAACTTGTGTAAAATTTGAGATTATCGTGGTAAAACACTACACGTTTTGTTGATCAATTCTGGCCGCCTTTTCTGTTTGATGATATTACTCAATTTGTTTACTCGATGTACACTTTCGAATCAATTGTTCAATTGTCTGGTAAAAGCTCCAAAAAAAATTTTTTTTAAATCCCACCAAAGAGAGCATCTCTCTTTAAGAGCATGTGGAACCCATATATCGAGCTATGAAATGAAACTAATTTGTTTCAAGTAATCATAAAGAGTTCAATTTGACAAATTTAATCTCTTAGTGATTTCACATGTTGTTATTCATCAGTTTGCTTCAATCAGTACCTTTATTTTGTTTTCATTGGCTTCAATTGGCCATCCAGAACGTGGTGCACCTTCAATATTAAAATTGCCAGAACAAAATTTTGTAAACCAGTTTTGACACTGTCATTCAATCAATACATCTTCTCCATACACGTCACACAATTTTTTTCTCGCTTGAACAGCATTCTTACTTTTTCGGTAATAAAAGAGCAAAATATGCCGAAAATGCTGCTTCCGATCTTCCATATTTGGTAGGACACAAAAAATAAAAAATTGCACGAAATCAAACAAAATTTTTTACAAATAAGCCTTAAAATGCTAGCTGTCAAAATATATAATGTTAATATAGTTTAGAATGAAAATGGCAGGAAAAATACAACTAATCCATCTAGTGGTAAAAAAAACAAACTTACTTTCTGAACAACCTAATATTATAGAAAATAAGCAAACTCAATACATTATATGATGGGTTTGTTTACAGATCAAATTTTTTGATCCATTCAGATAATATATTAAGGATCTTTCAAATGTAATTATATTAAATGCACTGTTTGTAGTATTATAGTAGACCTGTATTTGTTTTCATTACTTCTTTTATGTAAAAGACATAACATATTAATTGATTTTTAATTAATTGATACATCAGTATGTCTCTTGCATACAAACTAACATTTCTATGCCAAATAAATATGCAGAATTTTGAATTGCATTAGAATCTGCTCAATTTCTACTGAAACGAATTACCTTGGGTTTTAAAATGTTTCAAATTAAAATTTAGAATACATTTGTTTAATTTATATTATTTATTTTCATATATGAATTAAATACAAGCAAATAGCAGAGATTGCAATTTTTAAAAATTACTTATTATGTGTGGCCAAGTTAGCTAAAAACTATAGGAAATCCTCATCAGTTCAAAATTCAAGCAACAAAATAATCGCAATTTCAAATTATCAAGATTTCACAAATTATCAGAGATTTACATATTTCTGCACAATATGCCAAATACCATGTAACAGACGTAATTCATTAAACAAAGATAATATGTATACAGATTAATAATAATAATAATAATACATTTTTGTTAATTTTTAGTTATTATTATTATTATACATAAACTGCAGGTAAAAAGTAAGTATCCAGTGAGAACCTCGCAGGTCGCAAGGTAGGTTTTAGTAAAGTAAAGCAGAATTCTTCAAAATGTAGCCCAAAAAGTAGTAGGTCAGCCAAATGTAGTATCATAGAACCCTACAGATATCTCAATCTGCTACTTGCAGCCCAATCTTGCAATCCCAAAAACCAGCTATACTTTATAAGAAAAAAAGGTAATCCATGTATAAGGTGACACCCGAAAATGTTTTACTGTAAAAGCAAAGACAGATTAAAGTTGTTCTTTTATAGTATGAAAGCACTTAGATCAAAACGAACAAGTTAACATACGCATATCACAATTCAGATAGAATTTTCTATTCGAATTTCAAATTAGCCATATTTCAAACTACCCAAATTCTTTAACATGTAAATCTCTATATTATCAGCTGGGATAAGTGTAGTTACGAACTAATGGGATTTTGAACTATCCAAGTTCAAATTAACGAGGATTTCCTGTATATAGAATCACTATCAAAAGCATATCAACACTACATACTTGATAATCCCTGCAGAGGTAATCCATCGTTACTCCAAACCATGGCTTCGCATCCTGCATCCCATCTCAGGTGCACTTCTTTCCCCAACCAGCTGTCCGGTATCTGAATTTCCATCTAAATAATTGAAAAAGGTAATTTAATATTTTAGAAAGCTTTATCAAAAGAAGATCAACGAAACTAAATTATTGAAACTTATGCTATGCATTTATCGAAATAACTTAATGAACCCAGCGATAAACATACTTTGAACCAATGAGTGGACCAAGTGGGTCCAAATGAAGACCCGGGTTTAGTTTCGACGAAATGTCCCATTTCAACGGATTCTTTGAAAGGAACCCGTCCGCTGGCGGCAAAATGAGATAAATAAGACAATTGGGCACTTGAGGGATATAATTTTCCGTATAAATTAGCATCGGTAAAATATTGAGATGAAATGAACTTTTCAATCCTTTCGGTGGTCGTCCTCTTATTTTTCATGATGGCCGCCATGTTAAAGTATTGGTTATGATGCGCTCTACTGAATAAAATTATAATTACATGGAGTATATTAGTTTTATAGGTTTATTCTATAAATTTCCTCTTGTATATTTAATTAGAATCACGAACAAACGCGTAAACAACTCAGAGTAAATACGACAACATCCACGCATCTCCATTTAAAATCTCGTACTCCCATTGCCACAGTGTTGCCAAACTCTATACATCGAAAACGAAAAAATTAAATTCCATTTCATTTCGTCTGTAAATCAAAAATTTATGTTTTAATTATGTATTATTTTAATTATGTAAATTTATGTATTAATTAATTTAAATTTAAAAAACACTTTAAAACTTAAAAGTGTTTTTTAAAATTTATTTTAATAAATTATAAAATTAAGATTCTAAAGAATTTATTTTTAAATACTGTAGTAACGTCTTTATTGAAAATCTACAGGTTTCGCCGACATAAAAAAATTTATTTTTTATGTATCTATATTATCTACTAAATATTTATTAAATATCCAAATTATTATTATTATTATTATTATTATTATTAATTTAAACTATATTATAATAGGAGAATAAATTTAATGAATGATATTTTAATATATAAATTAGTGATTTTAACCTTAAAACTCAATATTGCATAACTCGTGCACACATATTTACTAGTCCCAGCACTGCTATTGTTTTCAATCATGGAACTATTGCAAATTACTAAGCGATAGAATGCCAAAATAGGTAAAGACGCGTTTTTTCGTTGTGCAACTTCCGATTAACGAGGCCTTCACATTATGGAAAGAATAAAATAGTGGTAGCGAATATGATAATCTGTGGAGTATTCTGGCACCTAACATATTTGTAACAGATTTACAGCATTTAACCTGTGTTTTATCTCTTTTTTTAAACAATAATCATTAGTGTTTGGTCTCAAGTATATAAATCATATTTTTCTCTTATTTTCATTATATTGAGGTATTTCGATGATAAAATTACCTATTTGTGTATATATGTTCATATTTGCAATAAAAAATTAATAATTACCATTGATAAAAATATAGCCCGACTTTTATTATTTAAAACTACATCAGTCATTTAAACTATCCTTTTCCAATGAAATGGATGGCCTCGGAACATGACTTTGGTGAAGTGTACGGCTCGACCCACTTCCTGCCTCTCCAGTTATTTACTAATAGCTCCAAAGTTTCAATGCAAGCTTTTAGACTAAATATACTAGTCACTGCTACTGCAAAACAATCCGAGAGTCCCAGTAAGTAAAGATAATAATGACAGTAGTACTTTCCTATGGAGAGATAAATCAACCAATTAGGAAGCTACTTTAGAACACGTGTCTATTTCCAGTATGGTCGATCTGCTACTTTGAGTCAGGTAGTAACACTATGTGAATTTATGAATTCCCAATTTTAAATGTTCTATTTTAAAAATTAAATAAAACTTTTATTATTTCTCAGTTCTGCAATTAAAATACATCATCTCCATAAGGTATTCTTGATTCGAACTTACTAGCATGAGACTATACTTTAAAACTAAAATTTCAATGAAAATCTACTGAACAATGAGAAAAACATCACTTTTTTAATTTCGCATATGTGAAATGCATATTTCTAACATATATTAAATATATAAAGTAGAAGATATATAGTTATCATTCGATATCTAATTTGTTATAATATTACAACGGATCTGTAACCTATAGATAAATATATTTCGATGAAACAATGAGTATTTAGATAATAATAATTTTGTTAATTAATGTTGCGATATAGTAAACATAAAAGATGCAATCGAAAACATTCGATAGTGATATTTAATCAATAGAAAATTTTATAAATGATTTGAATTAATTGCGGACATCGCTAGTTTACGTGTAAAAATTTTTCTGACACGAGATAAGATATGGTTATGATAGCAATTTTTTGTCGGAAATATTAAAAAATCATATTTTATAGTGTCTAATTATCAGTATTTAAAAAGATAAGCTTTCTAATTTTAATAAAATAAGACAACATTACCTTGACGCTAATAGTATAAGGTTATTTCCTCTATAAAATATAAAAATTATGCATCTAACGGCTATTGCATCTAAAAAAATCAACGAATTAACATTAATCTAGTCTAAAACAACGCTTCCCCTGCAATGCTTGTTTACCTGCATTGATATTATTAGCAACAGTGAAGACAAACTTCGGGTTGCAAACTAAGACACACCAAATGAATTAAGAACTGCATGTAACTTCTTTGAAATATTAAGCTCTTCTTTGAAATATTGCTTGAACATTAAATAAAATACATGTAAATACAATAAATACAATTGAATACATTTACGTACATTTCTTATAAATTAGTAGTTTTAAATTTCAAATGGCGCAACAATCTTATTTTTCCTTCAACAAATTTCCTAAAATTTGTATTAATTTCATATCGTATAAAATCCGTTTGTATGTAATTTATATTCGTATTGCATATTTATGGCATATTAGCCTTTATTTCGTAAATTTTATAAGAAATGGGACTCGTTAAAAGAACTAAACGAACAAACTTTAAACTAGAAACTTATTTGATCATCCAAAAGCATTAAAGGAAAAAAGCAAGAACAAAAATAAATACAATATGACGAGTCCTAGTAAATACGAAGAGGAAGAAACGTTAAAACATTTTGAATATTTTTTTATTTTAAGCTTTAAAATAAAATAAATAAATAAATAAATGGAAATCGTGCATCTAGTTAATGAATATGTAATTACATAATTTACAACATTGTAATATCTTTTAAATCATATTTCATATTCGTATAAAAATTATTGCCCCAGTTATATTAGTACATTACAAAATGTGTACTCTGTCAATTATAAATTCCCCAAAAATGAACTAAATTACTGTTATTATTATTATTGTTATTATTATTATTCAAAAATATATATTTTTTCAAAATGCGGATTTAGTTTTCAATATTTTTCAATCAACATCTAACAAAATTCGTGATATTAAAAATACTGTATGAAAGAATGGAAGCGAGTACGAGTATACCTGACATGGTTATGTAATCTCTCAAGAATGATAAAAAGATCTATATGGGTAATTTCTACAAAAATATTGGAAATATGAACCATAATATTGTGCCAGGTACGTGAATAATAAATAAATGCATTTGACATAAATATTCGAATTGTTATTCCATTATGTTAACAAAAATTATTTTTTTTTTTGTTTTACATTAAAAAGTTATTATTCCTCACCTTAAATCATTAACGCTAAAAGTAATTGGGCTGCAATTTGAAAGAAATTGTACCTATAAATTTCCATTGTCGTCCGCTGTCTGTCCTTTCTTAATCTTGAGAAAGGAGTTAGAATGTTAAAAGTCTAGACAGATATGGAAATCTTAGGAATAAGAGGTCCTGATTAACTATATATGAACCTGTGATGTAATCCAGACGTAAGGTTATTTCAATTCAAAAATTTTCCCCTGAAAGCTGTTAGCTAACTGTAAGCTGTAAGCTGACTGGCACAATTCTATTGTTAAAGGGAAAATGTGATACCTTCATTACTTTTTACCTTAAATATATAAAGATATTTATTCGTCATTTCTTCACATTTACAAATAAGACTTAATTTATGAAAAAACTTAGTAACTTTTTAAGTTATTTTTACCTTTCAAATTAAATGTTTTCAGCTGTTTTCCTATTTCTAAGCTATCCAAGTTATAAGTTATATGAGAAAAGGGGGAAAATGTAAAAGTAGAAACGTGTTTTTACATGTTAATTGTTGTTTTCAACAAATTTTGTAATATAATCGCTTCGTTAATACGGTGGATTAAATTCCAGACTACCGCCATAAAATGAATTATAACCTATTTTCATTTTCCAATGTTTTTTAAAGCCTAAATACGTATTTACACTATCTTTTACTAAATGCAGAGTAATGTTATACCTATAATGAGCAATTATGCCAGACTGCAATTTTCACTCATCTTCTAATTTTTAAAAAATCACGTAACTTTTGATCCAGACAGGGAATTTATGTGCAGGTAATCGGGGTCTCCGATTCCTAAGCTTTCCATGTCTGATCTGGATTTGTGTGTCTTATCCCTGTACTTCATACTTCTCCTGATAACAATCGATCATGCCAATCATCTATCTAACTCCGTTTTCGAGAAAATTTTGAATTGAAATCACGTAACCTCCGATATAAATCGAAAGTTTTTTTTTTTCGATTTATACCGGAAGTTACGTGTTTCAATTCAAAATTTTCGCTGCCTCTGGCCTCAAAGCTTTCCATAACTTGTCTCGATATTCATCTAACTCCGTTCTCGAGATTAACGAAGGACAGACAAACGGACGACAATGAGAATTTACAGGTCTGCAATTTGAAAATTGTAGCCCAAAGAATAATAATAAAGTTTTCAAAAAATAATTTCGCTGATTTAGAACAGGAAGACAATTTAAAAATATTTGGGAATTTTTGTATTATCATATACTGTATTATACTGTAAAAAATTGCCGACTTCGTTTTCCAAATGCAGCGTAGTTAAAAAATGAGTAATTATTTATTGCGGCATCGTCGCAATGCCGGGCAGCAATTTTTTAATCATATTTTTAATTTATTTAATTTAAAAAAAAGTAGTGTCGATATTTTAGTAGTGTTTGTTTCCTGTACATCATTCTTTTTCTGTTAACAATCGAGTCATGCCGGTCATACATCTAACTCCGTTTTGGAGAAAATATTTTAATTAATGAGACCAATACAGGCTAGAAGCCCGATTAACTATATACGAACTTTCGGTTTGGACCGGAAATCACGTGATTTCAATTCAAAAATTTTTCCATGAAAAGAGTTACATAGATGACCGGCACAACTTTATTGCTTTCAGGAAAAGTATAAGGAACAGGGGCAAGACACTACTAATTTGAGGTAGAGTACATCGCAGCCTGGCATTATAACGATGTCACAATAAAATAATTGCTCGTTTTATCTCTGTTTTTTAAGATAGTTTTTTCTTTGTTTCGTAGTAGTATGATGTCGATGCAGAAAAAGTATTAACTTTATTAATTATTATATTTATATCGTAACATGTCCAGATAATACAAATAAAATATATCTTTCGTATTTGTGAAATATGATTAATTAAAAACATTCACTTTTATCAATGTTTAGGAATTTAATTTTTTTTGTATGTTCTTCTGAACTTAGCATAAAGTTGCTATTGAGAACAAATCATGAAGGAACACTTCTGTATATTAAATATATTTATTATCATAGAGCAGGTTTTTCTTAAAACTCTTTCCGCCCTGTGGGTACCAAGAGAGCTTGTTTTTAGCAAGCCCATTATGGGTTCGGCCGGGGTCACAATAGGGTGGCCGGGGTTTTTTCCTTTTTTTTTTTTTTTTTTACTCTTTCCGCTCTGTGGGCACTAAGAGGGCCTCTTTTACAAGACCATTATGGGTTCGGCCAGGCCCAGAATGGGGCTTCCGAGTGGTGAGGGGCGGGGCCCTACATATCCGAACGGACCACCCCCGAAAAATTCCTGGGGATTTTTCGACCCGTTCGGATTCGAGCCCGGGTTTTCCAGAGCGGTAGGCTGCCACCTTGACCGCTCGGCCATCCAGCCGTTTCATCGAGCGAGGTAACGCTTTATAGGAGCTTTTATAAAGCTCAGCTACACGTTTAATGTTGAAATGCCAACTTTGACCCTTATTTTAATTTCACTAAATTTTTTACGAGTTATTCGATCGGAGTTTAAATGGATACTCATAAGAAACGGTAAGTTTAGTCTTTTATCTACATCTAGATTTAAACGCGGTCGAGCAGGACATTGCGGATAATAAAATAAACGCTTAAGTATTGCTGTGTTAGCCAGTTCTTTTAATTGTAATATCGTCAAGGAAAATATCCGGAATATTTATTTTCAATATTATTTAATATCTTATATAAAATAAAAAAATTACAGTATTTTAAAAATACGGTAATTATTTTCAAACGTCAGGGTGCGCAACTAAAAGAAAGCGTGTTTGATGTGTCGATTTCGTCCGACCATGTGCAAGAGTGTTGTTTCGGTTTGTTAGAAAATGGGAAAAGAAAAGAAAAAAAGAAAGCAAGAAGAATTGGAAGATGGAAACGTTGATGCACCGCAAAAGAAGAAAAAGTTAGATGAAACAGATGCCGATCAAACTGTTTGTGAAAACAAAGAATCGACTTACGAAGACAAATTAAAGTTTGTTAGTGTAATTGCTAAACCGATGGCATCGAGAAAACTTGCCAAAAAACTATACAAATTGGTCAGAAAAGGTATTTCATCTGCTTTAATTAATTTAATGATTATTAGGTCAATTTGGTTATTGGTTAATACATTAATATATAACTGATTATTAAATGACGTGTGTTTAATAATAACATTTTTGAAACCTGAATATCGCAGTGCAGAATTTTAGTAGTATTACATCATAAAATTCTAAGTGTAGATTTAACAGAAATGAACAGTAAACATTAAAAACCATTTTATCAGTAAAATATTTATTGATTTGTATTCTGTATTTATGAAATTAAAAAATTAAAAGTTATAGATATTATGAAATATCATCAATTTTAATCAGATTTATATTGTGTATATTCGTAATTGTCAGATATAAATAAACAGATATGTGTGTAATACATAAGAACATAAAACTTGATTAATTATGATATTCAGAATGGAATAAATGTTTGTGAATTTATAATAATAATAATCAAACAAAATATAAATTGACATTCATCATTTGAATCACATAAAGGATAAACAATGTGTGAAAAATATTAATTTAAGTCTTTAATACAAGTAAAACAGCAAAACTGTATTTGGAACAAGACTATGTCTCGCAGACTCGCTACTAAGCGGAATCACTTTGATGCTCAAGGCGGGTCTCATTGTCTTTCTCCAATCTTTGGTATCACTGCTTTTGGGTGCGATCATTCAAACTTTGCTGGCCACGACCATGAGATCATCCACGATGCATTTTCGATGAAATTAACCTATCCAATTTCGAAATTTCTCTCCATTGCCTGTCGGTCTGAGTTGAATTTTTGTCGATGCATAATGAAAATTTCCCATTTTTGAAAAAATAATCATGGCTATTGTATTGTCTGAAATTATTTTTTATTTTGCACAAACAATATACAGTTTAACCCGATTATAACATCTTCGGATGTAACAACAACCCTAATATAACATCAAATTATTATCAGTCCCATAATTTTACTGTACAGTACTAAATAATGTTAAAAAACCTACTTGTAACGACACCCTGTTTTAATGTCATGTTTGAAGCACTCCCAAATTTAAAAAATTAGATTACAAATTTTATTTAACATAGAAGAAACTACGTGTTCTTCTATGTTAAATAAAATGTTCTACGTGTTCTTCTATGTTAAATAAAATGTTCTACGTGTTCTTCATTCTAAGGTCAGAGTTTTCTTCTTAGAATGACTGTAGGTGGTACTCTCCCCAACCTGACTTTGGTGGGGTGAGATGCCTGTTTTGCCTAAGGCGCTAGATTACCCAGGTATGCTCATACGTTTCTGTCACGTGCGCAGCCATATTGGTCCTTTTGACGTCATATTCCAAGATTTTTAAATTTAGCTGTATTTTATAACTAGTTGAACTAAATTTTGGCAAAGTTTATCATTTCGACCTTGCAAAATCTTAAGATACAGTTGAATTTATGATTATTTTCGTGTCTCTTCTATTGAACTTCTACGAGAGTCGTATGCTTTCTAAGGACCAACATGGCGGATGAGCATACCTGGGTTATCTAGCGCCTTAGTTTTGCCTGTTTGTAGAAGAGGGTCGCCATTTTGTATTTTATTTTAACTTGGTTCTCGGTACCCTGACTACCTACAAGTCTGGATTTTTTTATGCACAAATGATTTGGACACCTAATACTCTGTGCTAAGTATCAACTCTCGACATATACTCCTTCATACCTCTAAGCTGGTAACATAAACCAGCAGTACGATTTTATAAACAAGACATAGTCTTGTCGATAAAACATATTTTACAATTAAAATGTGTATAGTGAATAGATGATATCCAATCTGAATTTACAATTGTAAAGTTTTAAAAAGGTAAATGTGGTCATTTTTTTAGCTTTCTCTCTTATTACTGTGGACCATAAGAAAGTTACAACTCGAGTTACTTTTTTTATATTTTTACTGTCCTATTAATTAACACTCTACCAATTTTTATTTAAATTTAAAAAAAGAAATTCTTAAAGAAACAGAAAATTTCTTTTTTACACTATAACATAATGCATCTAAAGACAATACACTGTTTTGTTTGGTAATTGGATGACAATTACCAAACAAAACAGTGTATTGTCTTTGGAAACAAATCCTAGTTCAGTCCAACTTCCACTTGTTTCTTGATTGTGGACAAAGATGTAGCTATTTGTGCTTGTCTCACAATCAGACGGTCATCTCTGCTGGTGGTCTGTGTGGGAGTCCAGATACTTGCTTCCAAATATGTGTGTGCTGACATATCTGTTGTTTCTAACATCTGTTCACAGTTAGATCAGAACAGCTATCCTGCTTCCCTCAGCTTGATGATGCACACTTTCCCAAACTCTGTTAACTATGTATAATATCTTTCAAGTTTGTCACATTGGTATCTGGTTGTTAAAAGACTGTCAGACAATAAGTACACTGAAAATTCTGACACAGTTTTTTATAAAATACTGAGATAGTAATTTTGGATAGATGGTGGCATTCTCTAGCATGCAATTAGATCACAACTGGAATCATTTACATAAGCCTAGTTTTGCAGTAATCAGACAAATCTATTTGGATTTATAACTTTCTTGTCATCAATGCCACTGTTTTCTCCACTAATTTGTAAGAATTCCCCTGGATTATTACAAATGAATACAAAATTGTCACAAACATAATGCATTTTTAGTACATGAAATGAAAAGTGAAGACTTCTATTCAACCAACTCTGAAGGAGGCAATTTTGAAAACAAAAAAAAATGATGGAGAAACTGTCAATTGGTTGAATATTTTCTGGATAAGGTTTTCAAGAAATGTGCCGTATAACTTGTTTTATTAAACATTGATGGAAAAAGATCTGCAATTTAAAACTTTTGATTTATCACCAAAACGGGGTAGTTTTGGAAAAATAGTATCATCGTCAAATATGTAATCAACACCTTATCACTCGCTGAGAGATTTTTTATTAAAACAAACATTATTAAAACCTGATGATGATCCATTCAATGGATCATCATCAGGTTAAATGGAACACTTCATAAATAGAACAAACACGTTCAAATATTCAAAAATACTCATAACCGATAACATAAAAATAAATAATACTTGTAAATAATACAAATATGCACAAAATAAATAACATATTACCAATACTAAATATTAATACTGCCTACCTAACTAAATAACGTTTTCTATATATCATACTAAAGTTCATGTGCTTTCTGTAAGCTTTTAACTGCAAACTTCCAAGTGGAAGGAAGACCCTCCACATCCCTTGCATTAATGCATTTTTTTTTAAGCTTGCTTCTATAAATTTCTATCTTTTCAGCTATTCTTGCCAAAGTCAGAGAGTGTATCTGTTTCAGGATTTCTGCTTTATCCCATCATACCAATGAACCTTCTGCCTGCGCCATCTGGGCCAATACTGTCGCATTAGAACCTTTTCTAATATCATATCTGTGCTCTTTTATCCTTACCCCTAGGTTTCTAGTAGTAACCCCTACATATTCTTTTTTTATTTTTAATAGCTGGTTCTCGTAAGGAATCTTATACACACCCCCTTATCTTCTTTTTTAACGACCCCTTTATCGTTTCTAAGTATTTTGTACAAATTCGGAGCTCTTTTTAAGACCATCTTTGTATCTTTTATATTTGTGATTTCTTTCATAATGCCTCCTAAGTGCTTGTTGTATGTAAGTTTCATGTATTTAGATGGACCTTGTACAGATTTCATATCATTACTAGCTTCTAATTTTGTAATAATTCTCTTTACAACATTCCTCTTGTAACCCAATGTTCTTGCCAACTGCATAATTCTTTCTATCTCTGCATCTTGGTCTATAATGTTTTTGCAGTTAATTTACACTGCTAATTTATACCTATAAGGGTCATTAGAGCTTGCAGAGATATATAGTGGGGCTATGCATTGGTTTAATGAATATGCTGGTAGATATACATCCTTTGCTAAATATGATATTAATGTCTAAGAAATGTACCATTTTAGAGCTTTTTTGCTCTAGCTTCAACCTAAGGCCTTCCTCGTTATTGTTAACTCTATCTACAAATTTAGCAATTACTCGATTGTTTTTCCATATAATGAATATATCATCTACATATCTCTTTTGAAGCTAAGCAGAATTTTTCCTTCTAGTTTTCTAAAAGCAAAAAAGCTCTAATCTAAAGCTCTATGCAAAAAAGATATGATATTAGAAAAGGTTCTAATGCGACAGTATTGGCCCAGATGGCGCAGGCAGAAAGTTCATTGGTACGATGGGATAAAACGGAAATCCTGAAACAGATACACTCTCTGACTTTGGCAAGAACAGCTGAAAAGATAGAAATTTATAGAAGCAAGCTTAAAGAAAAATGCATTAATGCAAGGGATGTGGAGGGTCTTCCTTCCACTTGGAAGTTTGCAGTTAAAAGCTTACAGAAAGCGCATGAACTTTAGTATAATATGATACAGTAGAGTCTCGAAAACTCGGCACTCGATAACCTGGCAGTCTGGATCACTTGGCCACACCCTGGCAGGGCAAAAAAATCCTTAGTTAATTAATTTTCATTATAGACAGCTTTATGTCTCATAAAGTATTTTTTTGAGGTCTGTCTTATCAGGTAAATTACTGTACATAGTGTATTCATTAATTTTCATTTTCATGTAGTAAAGGCTCTATGCCTTCATAAAGGACGTACTTTTCCTTTGTTTAACACCTTAAGTTCCCAGCAATTTTTGATATTAATGTAATTAAACATAAAAAATACTTAAAACTGAAAAAAAAACGAAAGAAATGCATTAATTTTGAAGAAAAAGCTTCAAACTTTATTTTCTGTCTTGCCTTTCTGCGAAACTTGACACCTGATGAGTCATTGTTTACACAGCTGGAGTGGATTTCCCGGGACATTCTCATAGAAGTCTCGGGAGGACAAGGGTTTAAAGTAGGGTGAGTTCTAGATGGCCATATATTTTAAAATATTTTTTAAATATTCAAATTTTAATTGCAATTTCCGACCCCCCCTGACTTAATTAAACGTGTATATGATAAAATCTATTAATTAAAAAAATTAAAAAACTATTGGAGGTGGTTTTTGACATCAGAAAGCAGCTTTAAAGAACTTTACCGAAGGAAAATCCGTGCGCTACAACTTAGGAACCATGAAATAAGTTTGATAAAAAAAACTCCCATTAAAAAACAATTAAGCCTTAATCGAGCCTTATCAAAGGCTCGTTAAAATCGCGATAAAATTTTTTTGCGTGGGTAAAAATTTTTGAAAAAATTTGGAGACTTAAAAAACATTCCAAATATTCAAAAAAAACAAAATTTTTTTGGGGGCCGAAAGGACCGAGTTTTATGTAAGGCTATGTAACATACCCGAGTTAACTTGGGCGAAGAACTAAAGGGGTGTAAATTAAGGGTATTTGGGCAGTTTATTCTCTGTTGAATTCTCAAGTAAACAATACATACAAGTACAGTACAGTATTTTCTGAGGAAACACTCATACTTATTTTTTTAAACCCCATTACCGATAACCCGGCATTTTCACAAACTTGGCCACCCTTCGGTCCACATTAGGCCAAGTTTTCGAGACTCTACTGTATATAGAAATCTCTATTTAGTTTAGTAGGCGGTATTAATATTTAGTATTGGTAATACGTTATTTATTTTGTGCATATTTGTATTATTTACAAGTATTATTTATTTTTATGTTATCGGTTATGAGTATTTTTGAATATTTGAACGTGTTGTTCTATTTATGAAGTGTTTCATTTAACCTGATGATGATCCATTGAATGGATTGAAAACGTTTGTTTTAATAAAAAAATCTCTCAGTGAGTGATAAGGCGTTGATTACATATTTAATTATTTTTTGCTGGGTACAGTTGTGGTTTATATTAGTATCATCATCATTAAATGTGAAAACTAAGCCTATTACTAATGTGATGGATTTATCACTTTATATATCCATTCATCATGAATACTTTAAAAATTTGCACAATCTAAACTAAGAAATATAATTATATGCATGCAACTTATTACTGAATATTTTTTCTTATGTTATCCACTTTTTCCTATAAAATTAATTTTTTGTTTTGTTGTAGCTTTTCTTTTCAAAAAAGTATATGTTGAAATAAATAAGTAAGTAAATAAAATATTCAATTTTTTGTTATTATAACTATATTCCATTCAAAGAAAAGCAATGTTTTCAACAAATCATTGCTTTTGAAAATGAGGCAAGTCCATTGATGCATAACAAAACCATGATTTTTTTTTCATCTAACATGGATAACCATTATTGCATATTAAATTTACATCAAATACAACCAAAAAAATATAAAATAAATCTATTACTGCTTAAGAATATTTTTAAACTCATTCAAATGCAAACCATTAAATATCCAGCAAACAATATAAAATGGACTTGCCCCATTTTCAAAATCAACAACTCAATTATTGATAGGAAATAAATTATCGATTCCTTTAATAAACAAAAAAGAATAGTATACTTTTGTTAACTTCTGGAACATAACCTTATGTTTTACATTAGTCCTTTGTTTCATGTAGTACAGATTCACATAATACATCATTTTTTTGGAACATATCTAACGTTTTATAAGAGAGATACCTGTATATATACACAAAAGTATAAAATTTTAATGAAAAAAATATATATGTGTAGGGCAGCGTTTGTGGTCGGCACTTTTGGGCGTATTTTAAATAATTGTTTACTCTTTTGCAGATGCTTACCACCAGGAGGTGTAAATTAACTATTTAAGTGTACGATTTAATGTTTGAGAGTTGGCAGCGTTTATGGTCGGCGCTTTTGGGCATATTATAAATAATTGTTTACTCTTCTGCAGGTAAGCTCACTGGTTTGTTTCGTCATGTCTAAAAGGAAGACTTATTCACCTGTAAGTCAGTCGAATAGTAGATCAAATATTTTTCATTCTGACCCATTGGAGGAGACGAGTATCTTGGAGTTACTTCAAGGAGAATTTGATATTAAGGATGGGATATCGTTACTTATTCAGCTAAATTTAAAGCAGAATAAGAAATTGGAAGGAATGATTGCTAGGATTGATAGAATCTACTCCTGGGTAGAAAATTTGGACGAAGCTATTGTTAATATAGAAACTAGATTAGAAGATTTAGAGAAAAAATTTACATACGATACCGGTAAGATTCTATCGGACGATAGAATAGATTTGGAAAACAAAATGGCCGAGTTTACATTAAGTCAGGAGCGGTTTGAGTGTTTTTTAAGGTGTAATAACTTAATAATATATTTTGAAT